ATTAACCCTGTGTTTTAAGGAAACTGGACCAAATGTTTAATATATCTATAAAAATTCTGATTAAAAGCTGTAGCTATTTAAAATTAATAATAATTTTGTGAGCACTATTAAACTCAGGATATCCTTTTACCAAATATATCATAGATAAAACGCAGAACAGAAGCACAAAAGGTAAACTCTGCTGAAGGCACTTACAAAAATATTACTCAACAGGAGTGAGTAGTAAGAGGAAGCAGGATCTCAGGTCCAGGTATTGGAAAAATTTAATGGGAATGTCTTACCTCATGGAACAAAAAGAAGGCATGGAGTCACAAAAGTAGAATTGGGGGTGCTCAGGTACTGAGACATCATAGTAACTTGTCCTTGGGCGAATACATGGACTGCTTTCCTCAAAAACATCAGTGTGGGGACACAGTTAAGAGTCATCATCAAAATGAAAACACATCAGGCAACCCTGGTAGCTGCAACGTAAGCATCATGACCATAAACACGCCGTTTCATCTCTTTGCTGGGGTGTAGAAATTATGCGATTGGAGTAGCAACATCCTATAAACAGATGGAGTAGCACTGGTAACAAGATCATGTATTTCAAGAAAGGCCAGTGTAAGGATCTTTTGGATATCTAAGAACCATTGATAGAGTTTACAGCATTAATTTGGGGAAAAGATGGCAGCCCCAAAACTTTACTCCTTTTGATCTTGAAAGAAGGAATAAAAAGCCTGTGACGTTAGTTCACATCTCGCCTCCACCCGTGAACTGAGAGCCTGCTACAAGTTTAAAAGGCAACAACTAATTCTCATTTCTAAAGAACGTCTTTAAAATTATTTAAAACATACCATATGATCTCACCTATAAGCGGAACCTAACCAACAATGCAAAGATGCAAGAAAAATATGACCAGCAACACTAAAAGGAAAAGAAATCAATAGAGACAAGAGAGAAGGGGGGGGGTAGGGAAAGGGAAGGGAAGGGGAAAGTCAAGGGACATATAGCAAGGACTCATGGACAAAACCAAAGGGGAAGAGCTGAGGGAGGGAAGGTGGGAGGGGGCAAGGGAAAGAGGTGGGGGGAAGGCAGAGACAAATGTATTTAAAAAGTAAATAAATAAATAAATTAATTAATTAATTAAATAAAATTATTTAAAACAAATTATTTTAAAAGCTAAAAGATCATTTTATACCATCCCATTCTTTTTTTCATTTTCTTTTTATATTGTCTCACTAAATTCTATTAAATTAAAATGAAATGTAGAGTGTCACTAATATGAATATTCTCCTATGAAACTAGATAACGCTGAGTGAATAAAAATTTTTAAATTTAAACTTAGTGCTTTTAGAGTGACCATATTTTTAAAAGAGGGCATAATGAAAAATAAATATAAAATAACTGTTAGAGGCCAGTTAATTTTTTTAATAGTTTGCCTCTGTACAGCACAATTTTGATATTTTACACACTTAAAAAAGGATAAAATCCCAAAAAAAGGAAATTACAAAAGGGGATAAAACAATATTAATATAAATAAAAATATTAATCTTAAAAGCCAATACACATAATACCTGAAGCTAGCGTTACTGGCTTAACAGAGAATCTTTTTCATTTTAGAAGAGGATGTAGCTTCCAGGGAGAAAGGTGTCCGAAAGATTTTGAGAAAAACATGTCTTCCTTAGATTATCAGAGATGAAGAATAAAACAAGATGGTAAAAAACCACAATTTCAATGATAGTTTTAGAAAAGTTAAAAATAAAATTCATTTATGGGTGTTATTATATTTTACTTTCAAATCTTTATTGAGGTATAATTGCATCAATTTAAAATATAATACTTGACAATTTTGACATATGTATACACTTATGAAACCACAATAATCAAGGCAATAAATATACCCATCACCCCAAATGTTTTATTTTGCCAGAATGAGTGGAGTCACATGAAAATAATCACAAAAAAGAATAAAAATATATTATTGGACTAAATTACATTAAAATACAACTCATACCAAGCAATTAGAGAATCAAAATATGGATTGCATTTAACACAGAAATATAAAATATAGCACCTATATCTATATAAAATATAGCATTTTATAGCATCTATATCTATATAAAATACAGCATTTTATATAGAAATATAAAATATAAGCTTGAAATTTATTTCTCTGTCATTTAAAATAGTTCTGTAGAGGTAGATAATCCCAGGCTAATATAGAACTCCTCAAAATTGTCAGGGATCTAAATTCTTCCAACAAACATTTCTGCAGTCCCTAATAAGGCCCTTGTCCTCATTGTCCAAGATATAGAGAATAAAAGGTCATCTCTTCTCTCTTAAAGAAACTTCTCAAAGGAAGAAACTCAATGCTATTTGTCAGTAAAACATAAGTAAGGAATCTATTTTACAAAGGAGGAAATTGGGCTCAGAGTTAATAAGTAAATTAAATTTTCCTTTCATTGGCCAGAACTTAGTCCTTGAATATGGCCAGCTACAAATGGTGCATTATTGCTTCAAATGAGTCTGTGTTCTGCTAATGAGGAGGAGGAGAACAAATGCTGAGGGAGGCAGATGGCAGTCTCTGCCACATATGTGTTACATTTTACTGAGCTCCTTAAAATGTACCGTTTATAAATATGGAAATTCAAGATGATGAGTCCCACCATCAGTAACAGAAAGGGTAAAAGTCAGTGGGGTACAAAACACTGAATGCAAGGGATAAAAACAAAACATGTTAACAATAACAAAACTGCACTTCAAGTATATGGAGTATAAAGTTCTGTGTTTAGAAATAAAAGTATAATTTGCAGAAACCAGGGTTACTAAAAGTCCTGGCTATGTAATTATGAAAGAAGAACCACATTCTAGGAAGTTAGTTTTATGAATAAATCCAGTTATAAGTATTTTTGATCGTTTTAAATTTTACTTTTCCCATATTTTATATATGTAATTCACAAGTTACTTATTATAATATTTACTTATATCACTTTTCAAAAAGGAATTTAAAGTGGTAAATTCCTTCATAAAAGTATTATCATTTTCTCTGAGAACTCTCATCTATCAAAAAATAAAATGTAGTACAATGCTCTTGCACAACTTGGAGAACAGGCCATTCAAACCAAAGCAACTGCTTCTGCCTCCTAGTTTCAAATGTATAACAACATTTACTTTCTCAAATAATTTACTTTCTAAGATAAAAATTCCCTCCTGTCTATGTTGGCTGGAACTTGCCTTGCAGCATCTTGTTTTCCTTATAATCATGTGCAAAGGCTTCAATGTTTCCCTCCTTGGTTCATTTATCTCAGAATTCCCAGTTAACTGCTCTACTCAAAATCTGAACCATAGTCTTCAGTTGCCAGCTTGTATAAAGTCATGCTCAATGTCTTCAGTCTATGCCTACAGAGTTTAACATGTCTGAATTAGGGTTTTCCTTGATCTAAATGTATGTCAGTTCAGGAAACTTGAGCAAATTGTCTATTCAGAGGCCTGAGTCTCTACAACAAGCAAAAGCAGCTCAGAGAACGAGTGAGAAGTGGGTCTCTAAAACTGGTATTAAAAAAAGAAAGAAAAGAAAACATTGCAGTCTAGTGGCCAAGAAAATATTTCAAAAAGTAACAAGAATATTTGATGTCATTTGTCCTCAAATTTATTTTCTAATCACCCTGTGAATTTTTTAAATAAATGTGACCAAATGTTAAATAAGGAAATCACATCACTCAAACATAAAATAATATGATATTTATTTCCAGTCAGACAGATGTTGGGATGAAGGTGTACTCCAAATAAAATGCAGTTCTGATTACAGTGAAGCAATTGACACCAAGTCTGATGAGGAGTATCCAGAAGTAAACAAGAAATGCTGTACCATCCTGCCAGTAAAACATAAAAGAAGGGTCTGTAAATAAAGGAAAGCCTTTAAAGTGCCTCATCTACATGTAAAATACACTAAAGGAAATTAAACGGCAATCTTATCTGTAACATAAAAAGAAACAATTTATAAATCAAACCTAAAATTACACAATCTTTCAAGAGATAGAGTCAACTTTATGACAAAGTGTCTCTCTCCTATCCAAGTAGAAAGATCTTGATACATGTATGTTTAATTCTGTATACACTCCATTAACTACACATATGAAAAAAAACTATATTTATGATACTATAATTACATCTTTTTAATATGGCTTTACACATTCCTATCTCATTGCAGTGCTTTGCACTGTTCCTTTTTTCCAATTTCCCTAATAAATTGAACCTACTAGTTATTAGATTTTTAAAAAAATAAATCCTGTGCCTGGGATATTGGTATCCGAGTTCTATACTAATGTTTTTCATAATAACTTTCCCTCCTAAATTTTTCTAATAAAATCTCCTCTCCTTGTGTATCGAGGCTGATTTTAGCCACATGTAACAGAGAAAGAAACACAAATGGACTTAAATATTAAAGGAAATCATGGCCTTGTATTACAAAAAAATCAAGAGCAGTGGTCCTCAACCCTATCTACACATTTGCATCCATTGGGGAGGTTTTTAAAAAATGTCCTTGTCCGGATCGTAATGGCCCCTCCCCAGAGATGATGCTTTAAGTGGTCTTGCGTACCACAAATATTTTTTAACTTCCAACGTACACACAGGGTTAAATACCACTGCTTTAGAAGAATGGATTCCAGATGTGACTTAAATTCTATTTCTCTCTGATGCTCTAAGCCCTTTTCTCTTCCATGTGTCTACTTCAGCAGGCAGTCTTTCTTCATAATGGAATAAAGACTGCTGACTTATATCCATCTGTAATGTAAAACAGAAGAAGAGAAAGCTGCTTTTTCTTCAACCATAAAACACAATCTTAGGCATTCTCTGGGCCAGCACAGTTCCTATTCTCACCTGAACCAATCACTGTTACAGGAGAGATTCAATTATGCAAATTATCATAACCTAAATCAAGTGACATAAAATTAATATACAATTTTACGGCTGGAATTAATGAAACTTATAACATTCTAATGAAGCACAAGTGTCAACTACCATTTACGAATGCCTATGTAACTCAGAGCATATCTGGAAAACAAGAGAAAAATTACAAGTAATGGTGTCAAAAGTAAACAAGGACAGATGCTGCAGATGTTTGCCTTCAAAAAGCATTATATAGCTAGGTAGGGATGATGGAAATTAAAAAATAAAAAACTTGTAGATGATATGGCTACAAAATCAATACCACTAATCTGTTCCTAAGTTACAGTAGATGATCACTGAACATAAATATACCCATAAATTTATATGCATTCCTTTGTGAAAATTATTTAAGAGAATTGAATTATAGGACATCTTTAGTAATGCATTACTCATAGTAAATGAGAGAATCTGTTATTTTATAGTTACTAAATAATAATAGTCAAAATGCTCTATGTCACAAAATATTTATAATTCAGTCTTGTTGAAGAAAACAAAATACACAAAAGGTATTTTCACTATTGTTACAGTGAAAAAAATTCACTAAAACATTAACAGTTGATACTATTATTTGTAGGACTTTATAAACTTCTTTTGCTTTTTCTATTTTACCTTCAAAAATTTCCTTATTTATATATTTATCTTATAAATAAAAACATTTCAACAGACCAATAAGTTGTTTCAATTACAGAATTATTGAAACTACTACAGGAGATAAAAACTTTTTAAAAATTCTTCATTCTAAACCTTAAAATTCTATATTTTTCTTTTCCAAGATTGAATGTTTAATTATGAAATCTTTGTGAATGTTCTTGGCCTAAGTGTCAATGGTATGGTATTCTAATGCTCAAAATATGTGCAAAGCACCAATATCTGGAATGTTGGCATAGAAAGTAAACTTCCACAGCATCCGAGGAAACCACCATTTGTCCCTTACTTAAAATCTCCTTGGCAAGGCACTTAGTTTTTTATGAGACTGTCTACTCTGTAATTTAAATTCTTTAATTATTAAATTGCAAACAATTGAAGTGCAATGATGGCATTATGTATTTACCAAATGCAGAAAAATGGAATTTTAAAGTTTAGGAAAGACATGGGACATGAAGGAAATGGTGAGCAAAGGTTGGCACTCCTTATAATTGAACTCCATTTTTCCACTTATAAAAATTCAATTATTTGTGTAATGGGAAATGGGAGAGAAGAAAGGAATTGTTTTTAAAGAATAGATCAAGAGTTAAAAATAATCATTAAACTCTCTCATTTTGTTTTGATTTTGCAAAAACAGCTACTACTTAAAAGAAAAATAAATAAATTCACATTGCAAGGTCAGGATTTTAAAGTAATTGTCTTTGTTTTAAACAAGCAGGTATAGAACAAGCAGATAAAACTTAATTTAAAAGTATGGAAGATGTCAATAGCACAATTAATAATTTTTAGTTGGTGGAGATATTTAGAGTGCTGTACCCAACAAATGTAGAAGGAACATTCTTTCCAAGAATACATGAAACATTTACTGAAGTATGCCAGATGATAGTCTATAACACAGGTTACAATAATTTTTTTCAGTATTTAAGTCATATAGATTATATTTTGACCACAGTGAAATAAGCAAGGAATCTGAGAAAAATAAACTAAGTAGTAAATCCATAAGTGTGGAAATTAAGCAATACAATTCTAAAAATCCTTAGGGTCAAAGAACAAATTACAATGAAAATTATAAAATATTTTATAGCATGTGCTAATGAAAATATGATTTGTCAAAATGTGTGGAATGCAGCTAACATAGGGCCTACAGGGAAATTTATGGAGGACAAGAATAGCCAACATAAAATATCTAAGTGTCTAATTAAGAACCTAGAAAAAAACACCAAATTAAACCTCAAAAAAGTAGAAAACTAAAATAAAGACAGCAAGAACAATAAACATAGAATAGAAATTCCACTATTAAATAGTGTCCATGAACTTCAGAAAGCTTTTACCATGTAATGATGTAATAATGGGATTGCAGCTTTAAACTCTCAGTTAAGATTACAGTGCATGATAATAGATAATTCCAAATGTTTAATATTCCCAAGAGTCATTAATATTGGACCATATACCTATATATGATGGATTACATAATAATAATCCTCTTTCAATATAGGGGTATCATCATGTTTTAAAAGTAACCAATATCATGCAGAATCAGCAGGTTACCAATTTTAAAACTTTAGTGCATCCATAAAACCCAAATTTTTCTATATAATCTCATGCTAAATTTGAATTTAAGTGTGAATATTTTAAATTTAATAAGAAAATTCAAATGAGCAAGTTGAAGACATGTTTTAACATTTACAATAATGTTGATTCCTGACTTTGAGTGTTTATTTTAATCAAAAATAACACAAAATTATAAATGCAAATCCTGAGAATGTTCAACCTCAAATAAAAAATGTACACTTAGAATAGGTATTAAAAATATAATCTTTAAAATTTATAAATTATGAGAGCTGGACTACATATACAAGATAATCAGTTCTTTGAAAATATTTATCTGAAGTGGAGATACACAATACTTGATAACAACAAGCAAGAATACTATCCTCTATAGAGTTGTTTTCAAAGTAATCTTTATCTGGGAGCAAATTCTTATCTCAAGTTAAATTGATGCTCATCATATACTCCTAGAAATTTATTTAAAGCAAGCACAACTAATCTTAGCATTCTCTGAAGCCCAATAAAAAACATTGTAATGGTGACTCACCATCACTCTTAAAATATTAGCACACTGAACTAACGTAAAGAAAGTATGGATGGAGTAGGTCACCAGGAAAATAAAGTGCTAGGTCAGGAAAGGATTTTGGAAATAGGAAAAATTGGAAAAGTCTGGACACAATTTCAACACTGGCAACCAATTAATGACTTTCATACTGTTTTCCACTTTTACATGAGATTGTGATTTATCTCACCAAAAAAAATCAAAACATGATGAAAAATTAAATAATATACATTGTAAAATTAATAAATTTAAGATTTAAAAAGTATATTCATATTCAAGTAAAAATATTTAATTAGCTATATTGATATAAAAAGTAGAAAAATACTAGGCACAAAAACATCACAGCTAGGTGAAGCGCAAGGTACAATGCAGAAGAGGAAACCATTCCTTCAATTTTAGGTAGACAATGGCAAGTGTTTCTTTTAGACTATATATCAATTTGAGAAACATTTCATGTCATTTTAGAGCATTAAATATTTCATAACTACCACCATCTTTGAAAAATGTATTGAAGGCATTGCCCATAGGATAAAAGAGCAGCCTTTAAGAACCCTAAACAGCCGACATGCAGGCTGAGGGCAAAGGAAACGTGAAGAGGATGATGGAAGAAAGAGGTGAGAAATATCATCTAAGCTATAGACGAGTAAGAAATAAGTACAGTGGAAACTATTCAGATAAATTTCCACATGCACTTGTGTGTGTGAACTATTCTCATCTTCCTTCTTCTCCTTCTCCTTTTTATTTTTTAAAGTTTTATAAGACATTAACAATGTATGATTTTCTATTTAGGTAACAATTAAAAACTAAATAATGTTTAGTTGTATTTAGATAACAAAATATTTAAATGGCCTATGACTAATTTTCCCAGAGATGAAGATAATCACTGTTGAAAACTCGTCTTATGTTGTAGAATATAAAAACCTTTGTTATACAAAGGTTAGTTGTATGTGGCAGAATTATACAGTTGTTTCAAGAGCTATGTGGAAGTTCAACTCTAAATAGAAAAATGCATATGCATACTAAGTAGTCAAAGAGGTGGTATGTACCAGATTTTAAGCTATTATTGTCCCAATCCTAAATCTGGGAATCTGCAACCCATATTTGTGCTTTGTCAGGTGGCTTTCTCTTGGGTTTGGCCAACAACAGGTGCTAAAGATGGTAGAAAAACAGATTTCTTCCTGTGGATCTGCTTCTTCAAAGGAGAAGCAGCAGTTCCTCACCACAGTAGCAACCGAACCTAGTTGCAGTTATTCCAACATGCTTCTGCGTTAGTATTTTAATGTTACTCTGCACCCTCTCAAACTTCACAAAATGAGACCTCTTCCCATTATCTCACTTCATTCTTCTCACATTTCTAGCCTTCTTTCTTTTTTCTTCTCTATTTTCTACCAACATCATTTAAACTTACATGCATTTGTAAGAGTTTTCCAAATATGTTCCCTGTACACTTAAAATAGTGCTGCTAATGTAATGTTACTTAGTAACTACTTTTTAAATGTTTGTGATAGAAAAAAATGTCTTTTCCCCTAGACATTTGTTATAATACAATAGAACTATTGTTTATCCTTTCAAAATACCAACAGAAAGACCATTTTACATACTTTTGTATAATAATGATGACCAGATACTCAAAAATTTAATATTCTGAATTGCTCAAATTATGTGTGTTAACCATATCGGTGAGATCAGATTTCGGTAAATGAATCCAACATTGCAGCTTGCATCAGTGGAGATAATTTTGAAAAGAGATATGAATTTTTAAACATTTAAATTTACTGAAACAAGGTTTACTCCACATGAATATGTGCATCTAAGTGGAGAAAGTCAAGGAACATCTAGCAAGGACTCATGGACAAAACCAAAGGGGAAGAGCTGAGGGAGGGAGAGAGAGAGGAAGGGGGCAAGGGAAAGTGGTGGGGGGAAGGCAGAGACAAATGTATTTGAAAAAATTAATTAATTAATTAAAAGAAAAAATATTCAAAAGTTAAAAAAGATAACTAGACATTTGAAATCAAGTTCTAAATGTTATGTTTCATTAGTCATAAACTTATTATAAAGAGGTTTTAATGGTATTAATGCCATCATGATACCACTTGTAGGGTTGCACATGCACTCAAGATGGCATCAAAGAGTTAAATGACGGAGTTAAGATCTTGACTGCTCAATTCCACATCACTTTTAACATTCTTTTCTCTCTTTTACTCCCCACAGAAGCTACAAAACAATGACTGGCTGATATAAAATGTGAGAATCAGATTGGGATGGATGCCACAAATGTAGCATAATTTAAGTTTCAAAGATTATGTTGAATATGAGTCATTTTGCTGTTGTTCATTTTGTTTTATTTGCAGTTAACTGTTTATTTGAACTTTTAACTGTTAAAATGAACTTTTGTTTTCTTTTATTAAATTTGATAGGGTGACACTGGTTAACAAGCTTCTGTAGGTGTCAAGGGTACATTTCTATGATACGAGATCTGTATAATGCATTGCGTGCCCACCACCCACAGTCAGATCATGACACCTTCAAAGAAAGGACAGACCTCATTCTCAAAAGACATGAAGGTATAAAAATTTTTATCAACCAAAGGGTAAAAATAAAATTATTTCCTTTTAAAGTGATTATTTACTTCTGAGATTTGTGTAGAGCAATCAAACATGGCATGTAAAACTGCAGAATTGCAATCTTCTTACCATGTGTAAGTACTGACAGGCAAAATCACACCAAGTCAAAAAGCAGGCTACTAGAACCTGACTTACCGCAGTGCACCTTGCTCAGCGGTGGCCTTCAGCGTTCCTTCTGTACTAAGACGAAGATTGCATCCAGCTGCACTTGTTTTTGAACTAATGAGGTTAGACAATGAAATGAAAAATGTATAGAAACTTTAAAATGTAACAGAAGTATAAGAAGTATGTAAGTGCACTATGACCAATTCGTTCTCCCATGTGTCGGAAATCATTTACCTAAAGTCCTTTACTTACATTCATAGTCCTGCAATAAAGAATTCATTTTAGTGTGCTGTCCTCCACCAATGGTTATGTGAATGACAAGATGCCAACATGCAAACTAGCCAACCAACAAAATAAAAACTATGCAGAAATCTAAGAACTTTGTATGAATATTCTGGTAAGAAATTATAAGGAAAGAAAGATTGAGAGTAACAGACTATAGTTCTTAGTCAGAATAACTTTGATTGTTATGGAATAGTTCAGCTGAAATTGATTTCTAACATATTTTTACTATATTCAGGGTCCCAAGGGTCTGTGTCCCAGGGCCAAGTAATCTTTCTTTTGAGGTCCTGAGATACAAGCATTTCACTCTTAATATGCATGTTGCCCTTTGGATTTTAACTGTATTAATGAAACTTCTTTGAGAATATCCACTATGAGAGAATCTTAGGATTTGTTTCATTCCCTGGAGGCCTCTGAGTTTATTTAAAAAAATCAAAGTCACTTGGTTTCTCAAATGCTCCCAGGTTGAGAGTTAGCTTCAACTACTGAAGTAGAGAGTTAGTTTCTCTACTGGCCACTCTTGGTCCTTTCTTAATTTAGTCTCTAGCTTGTGTACTCCTTCTTCCTAATTCTAACAAGCATTCATGAACATGTTTTGTTTATATTTGATCTAGAATTAATCATGAGTACTATTTTTATTTTAAAAATATCTTAACATCATAAATAAAAATTAAATCGTATTCAAGTAGAAAATATACAAGCGTCTTCCTTGATCTCTTCCTGGTTTCATTCTCAGAAATACCGTTGATCCATAAACAACATGGAGGTTAGGGATGCTGACCCGTTCCTGCCATTGAATATCTGTATATAACTTTGCTTCTCCGGACACCTAGTTCTCTCTTGGTAACTGCAGAGAACTAGTTCCAGGACCTCTGCAGACACCCGAAGTCACCAATGCTCAGGTTCTCAATATGGAATGGTATCAACGCATTCGGTGGGATCTCTATGTCAATGCACTCCCACTGGGAATCAAAAAGGTAGTTACTTTTAAAAAATGTGGGTACACATGGGTCCATGCAGTCCAAAATGTTGTTGTTCAAAGATTAATTTTAATTTCATTTAACAATAATTGGGGTTTTTAGGGTTTCTTTATATTTACCATTATAAATGTAATATAAAGTCTTGCACTGTAATTTCTTAATTTTTTGACATCTGTTGACTCTGTATAATGAAATAAAAAATTTGAAACATGTTACTGCCTTGCAAACTTTTACCTCTTGGTTTTATTATTTTATTACTGACATTAAGGTTTCTAATATTTATGTTTTTATATTACAATTAAGTCACCTGCAAATTGTATAGATCGATTTAAAATCAATCAATAATATTAAAATAGGACTAACATATCATGATTATTCCCTTTGGAACCAAAAAGTGGTGGCCAAACACATAGAGAAGTGAAATTCTGTCACCAAGCCTCTAACTCCTGAAGAATGTCTAAAGCATGAACAAAAAAATGCCATCATCATTTGTTTTTACTTTTCTTCACTTCACCTAGGAAATTCTCACTTTCTACTCTTCTCTAGGTTTATGACACTTTTTCTTGTTTCTCATTTTTTCATTTTGCTGGAACATCTTCACCTTTGTGGATATAGAGGTACTAAATTTTCTGAGCTCCTTCATGTCAGAAAATTATTTTCTTGATTCAGTTAATTAAAATTTTGGATAGAGGCAGAATTCTACATCCAAAGTTATGTTCTCTCAGAAATTTGAGAAGATATCATTCCATCATCTCATAGCTCTGGTATATGAATGCTGCTGGGAAAATATTGATACCAGGACGTTCTTCATCCCTTTGTAAGTAACCCAGTTACTTTCTCCCTAGAAGTTTCCAGGGTATTTTCTTTATTTCCAGTCTTCTGAATGCAACAGAATGTGAAAAACTGTGTCTTTAAAGTTCATTCTCCTTGGTATTTTATTGAGATCTTCTAATTGAAGGTTTATGTCTTTATTCAGCTCAGGATACAATGATTTTACTCAAACACTCCCAACTACTATGTCGGCATTCTGCTTCGGCAAGGCCTAATAAACAGACGTTTGGCTTATGTTTAGCTTCCATTAGTCACATTTTCAATCTCTTTGTCCTTTTATATTCAACTAATGCTTATATTGTAAATTTTTAATACTTTCATTGGGAATTGTAAAAGAAAGGAGGTTGTGCATGTGTGCTCTATATTTCGTATAAAAAGAGAAGTCTGAATTTTTAAATATTTTTATGTAAAACTTTTATGTAAAATGTTGAAAATTAAACTGTCTTCCTCAAAATGGCAGCATATCCACACATGTAAATTTTAAATAAGTAAGAAGTAAACTTTCTAATATTTTTATTTGAATGAAAATTATAAAATTAATTCCATTATTGCATAAATTTGACATGATTTTGATTCTGAGATCAATAATTTGGACTTTTATTAGATGTATCACACATACCCACATGCTTGAAGAGTATTTTCATTTGCAGAAGGGATTCAACAACCAAACACTCTGCGACTAAACTATGTTGCTTCTTGGGTAAGCAGAGTCTCACCCAACACTTTTAATTGCAAGTGTTTCATGACAAAAAAAAAGACACAATACCAAAAAAGGAGTTTCTATATCCATCTAGAGACAAAGTTAAAAGAGAAAAATGTAAATTATGAATAATTAGTAGAGCAACTCATCTCCCTTTAAAGAAGATCTCCATCTTTCTCCCTACATACATAAACTATAACATATACATATGCATTCCTATGAGTACCCGCAGGGATTTTCATTGTTTTTTCCTAGTATTTATAATATTATGATAGGAGTAACTAAAATGGAGTAAATATTCCCAAACTTAAAAGCTTTATATTACTAACAAATTACTTATGACATACTTCAGAATGGATTCTAAGGTTGCACAACAATGATTCACTTAAGAAACACAATATAAGCCTAAAATTCCTTAAGAGGAAGAAATGATTTATTAAAAAAACATTTATTTAACAATTATGAGATCTCTGACATGTCAAGAAAACATGTCAAAATAGCTACAAAAAAAAATCTCAGAGAACTTGATGCTAACTTTGACCCAATTTATAAGATTCTGTCCACTGATTTCTCAGGAAAAAAAATCCATTTCTGAACAGCTGTCATCAAATTAATCTAATTCCTATGATTACCTAGACCTTCAAAACTATATTAATTTAACTAGCACTGAATATCTACTTTCTTTAAACTAATTTCTGCTAATCTTGTACCAGTTATTTCACCATTGAAAACAGTTGATATCAACTCTTGGCACTGTGCACTGGGTAGGATTTTATTTCAGCAAGCAGTGCCACCTCTTTGATTTATTGATTACATTTTAAAACCTAGTTGATGACACTGTTTTGGTAAGTTGTTATTAATATTATCATACAATGATGGTACAATTTATATAAAAATTCATTTTAATATTACCTATACACAGAAGTCTAACTTTTTAACTGTAATTTTCACTTTGATCTTATAGTAAATTTAATCTGAATAAAAGGCAAATACTGATTTTTTAAAATTTCATTGGCTTTACTTATTTCAACTTATTCAGTATTAACTGTAAAAGTGAATATTTAGTTTTAAAAAATCATATCAAGAGAGTTAAAAATGCAGATTAATGAGAATTAAAAACATCACTGAAGAGTCTAAAGTTTCAAAATAGATTCAAATTGAAAAGAAAAAAAATTACACTTATGAGTAAACTGACTTATTTCACTTAGCCTAACAACCTCCAGGTCCATCTATGCTGTCACAAACAATTTCCTTCATTTTTATGGCCAAGTAGTATTTCATTGTATAAATATACCACAGTTTTTTTAATCTACTCATCTGTTTATGGGCACTTGGGCTCCTTCCAAACCTTGGCTATTGTAATTAGTGCTGTAATGAAGATAGAAGTACATATATTCTTTCAAATGTCTTGGGTTTCTTCAAATGTATTCCCAGTAGTAGAATGACTGCGTCATAAGGCAGTTACATTTTTAATTTTTTGAGGAAACTCAGTACTGTTTTCCACAGTGGCTGCATCAACCTGCATTCCCACCAACAGTGCACGAGAGTTCCGTTGTCTCCACACCCTCACGAATAGTTGTTTGTTGATTTATTGATGATAGCCATTCTGACAGGTGTGAGGCGATACCTCATTTTGGTTTTAATTTGCATTTCTCTGATGACTACTGATGTTGAACATATTTTCATTTGTCTATTGGAAATCTCTATGTTCTCTCTGGAGAAGTATCTATTCAGATCCTTTGTCTATTTTTTTTAATTGGATTGTTTGGGTTTTTTGGTGTTCAGTTGTATAACTTCTTTATAAATTTTGGATATTTACCTGTTATCGGATAAATGCTTAGTGAATGTGTTCTCCCATTCAATGGGTTGTTTTCAATTTGTTCATGGTTTCCTTGGCTGTGCAAAAATGTTTAGTTTGATATTGTCCAATTCGTTTATTTTTTTATATGTGATTTGCATGAGGTAGGTACTCAGGGAATCACCAGGTAGGAGAAAGTGGTATTCACCAGAATGATACAGATTCAAACTCAGTCCCAGTCATGCGTCTAAGGCCACTTGGCAAATGTTCCAGGATACACCATGACAAGTTCCCATAAGCCGGGTATCCACAGACCTTTGTGGTAAGGTGGGGTCTCTGGGGGTCATCAGCAGGAGATTGGCATAGTTTATCAGGCCCAAACAGACCAAATTGTGTCCAGGACAGGGAAGGGCTCTGCACAGCTGCTTCAGTGAGGGAAAAATTGCCCCCGTCCTAGAGCCACACAAGTCTGTCCAAGAGTCTGCCAGGAACCACAGCTCAGCAGGGCAGGGCTGCTGGGATTCAGGAAGGTGAGGCTAGTGGATCTCCCATGAGGGGGAATGTTGGTCAGTTTTGGGAGAGGTGGGGAGACTGACCTTCACCTCAAAGCCACACAACTCAGTCACTGACACCCCCTGAGTCTTCCTGAACCTCTGCACCCTTGCTCAGCATCTGACTCCTGAGCAGGGTGTGCGCACCGCAGGATGGCGTGATAAGGAAGTCCAGGGGGTGAGGCTATTTCTTTACCCCAAGCTGATACCTTAGGAAGGGGAACGCTCTACCCAAGAAAAATGGTGTCTGTAGTGCAGGAGAGTGATCAGCACAGGGTTCCCAGCATCTGTCTCCTCAGCTCTCTCGCCAGAGCCACAAGCCACAGTTTCTCCTCAGACAAATCTAGTCCACTCTGCCCATCCTCGGAAGAGCCCAGGGTGAGTGCCTATAAGGTTTTTGTGTATTGGCCCTTTAAGAGGGTGCCTGTGTCTCTAACAGACCAATACCTCTTCCTGGCAGACAGAATCCCAGCTGATTTTCACAGCCAGATGTTATGTGGGTATCTCTTCCCAGCTTTGATGCTCTAGCTGGGAAGCCCAGCATGGGGTTCAAACACTTAGCTTTTCAGTGGGAAGCTTTGCAGCTAAGATATCCCACTGGGAACAAGGCTAGTCCTTTTTGTGTCTTCACCCTTCCTAACAGTCTTGATGTTGCTTCTTCTGTAAATCCTTGGTTGTAAGACTTCTTGTTTCAGCTAGTCTTACAGTTAGTTATTTATGTTGGTTGTTCTATATTATGATTGTCATTCCAGTCTGTTCCTGGGAGGAAGTGAGTGTAGCTTCCACCTATTCTGCATCTCAAAATTTCTCTTTTGGATAGTTTGTTGCTAAGTGCATAAAAACACTATTGATTTTTGAATGTTGATTTTGTATCCTGAAACTTTACTGCCTAGCAACGATTCAAAATTTTGAAAGAATCCATGAAAAATCTCACTTTGTAAAATTTTAGTAATTTTTTAGATAAAATAAACTTTTATCATTTCTATTGTAGTATTATGTCTATGAGCCTGAAGCATCTCTCAAAGATTAGCAGTAATGATTTTACAGCTCTCCTTTCATTACAATGAGATGTTTTTCGGCTATATTGTGACTTTTTAACTAATTTAAAGCACTAGGGTACTCACTTTGGCATCATATGTACTTAAAACTGGAACAACACAAAGATTAGCATCCTGCCAAAGGATAACAGGTAAATTTGTAAAGCATTTTATTTTTTTATTTTTTTCTCTGACCATGAATAGTTTATTGTTTTTTATGAGGTTTTTTTCTTATTGTTCAAATACATTTGCCTCCATTTTCCCGCCACCTCAATCCTTTCCCACTTTGGCTATGTCCATGGGTCCTTTATACATGTTCCTTGACTTGATCCTTCACTTCCCTTTCCCTGCCCCTCCTTCCTTCTTGATTCTGTTGGTTTCTCTTTTATTTCAGTGTTGTTGGTTACATTCTCCTTGCTTGTTTGTTTTGTTGACTAGGTTCCACTTATAGGTGAGATCATATAGTATTTGTCTCTCACTGACTGGTTTATTTCACTTAGCATAATATTCTCCAGTTCCATTCATATTGTCACAAAAGGTAGGAGTTCCTTCTTTATTTTTTTTAAATGAAGATTGATTTTACTTATTTTTCTTAAATGTTAAAATCCATTATAAAATATTAAAAAATTTGAATCCATTATAAAATATCAGCAATTAAAACATGACACCAGCACAGAAATAATCAAATAGATGAAGGAAATAAAATGAGCATTCTAGAACCAAATGAAAATATCTGTCTAACAATGTAATATATGATTAAATTTATATTTCAAATCAATGGGGAAAATAAGGCTTATTCAACAAATAAGGTGCATGGACCACTCATATTAAATAAAACAAATATAGAGCCCTATTTCACACATTATACAAAAAATATTCAGGTGAGTTAAAAATCAATATATAAAATCTAAGGGGTTTTAGGAGAACATACAATATAATATTTTTCTTACCCTGAAGTAAAATATTCAAACCCAGAAACTATAAAGTAAAATATTGACAATGTGATTATATTAAACATTTAGGACTATACAGTGATATACATATAAAAAAAGTTAAAGGACAAGTAATAGAATAGGAAACTTTTACAACACATCTAAAAAAAAGGTTAATAGTTTTTTTAGGGAAAAAATTCTACAAATGTTTAATTTAAAAAAATGGTTAAAGAATACCAAAAAGTCATTTAAAGTTTTTTTTTAAAAAAAAAATAGAAATAGGCAAGAAATATACAAAAAAAAATTTAGTTTCAAAAAATAATAAAGTAACAATTACAATGACACATCATTGTCATAATCAGATTAATAAGTACTTAAAATATTGGTAATATCAAGTATTGGTGACCAAGAAAGGAACTGGGTATTCATAGACTCTTTTTCTTCATCTTCTTAAAGCAGCCCCTTTAGCATATCTTGCAATACTGGTTTGGTGGTAGTGTATTTTTTAACCTTCTTTTGTCTGGGAAACTCCTTATTTCACCTTCTATTTTAATTGAGAGCCAAGCTGGGCAGAGTAGTCTTGGTTACAGGCCATTTCTTTTCATGACTTGGAATATTTCTTGCCATTCCCTTCTGGCTTATAGTGTTTCTGTTGAAAAGTCAGCTGTTAGCCCTACCAGGGTTCCCTTATATGTTACTGCCTCTTTCTCCCTTGCTGCCTTTAGGATTCTCTGTTTGTATTTGATATTTGCCATTTTAATGATAATGTGTCTTGGAGTGGGCCTCATTGTGTTCTTCTTGAATGGGGCCCTCTGTGCTTCCTGGACTTGTGTGACTTTTTCTGTCCTCCAATTAAGGAAGTTTTCCATCATTACATTTTCAAACGGGTTCTCTAACCCTTGCTCCTCCTCTTCTCACTCTGGTATCCCTACTATAGGCATATTACTGCCTTTCATTCCCTAAACACCTGCATTTCCCTAAACGCCTCTTCATTCTTTTTTCAGACTTTTTTCATTTTCTTGCTCTTTCTGGGAGCTTTTATCTACCTTGTCCTCCAGCTCACTAATTCGATTCTCTGCTTCATCTAGCCTGCTTTGGATTCCTTCTACTGTGTTCTTCAATTCAGAAATTGCATTCCTCATCTCCTCTTGTCTCTTATTGGTAGTTTCTTTGTCTTTTTTCATGCTGACATAGTTTGCAGTAAGTTTCCCTGTAGTTTTTTGTAATTCTCTCTGAGCTCACTGAGTTCATTGAACTACCTTAGAACCATTGTTTGGAGCTCAATATCTGATAGTTTACTTGCCTCTATTTCTTTTATTTCTCTTTGTGGGGATTCCTCCTTTCCCTTAGAATGGGAGGTGTTTCTTTGTCTTCCCATTATTTGTGAGACTCTTCTTTTTGCTTCTGCTTCTTAAATTGTCCTCTCTTGATTTCTGACTTTGTGGTGTGAACTTCTATGGTAAAAGACCACTGTTTTTTTTGTTTCTGGGTCTGCCTCTGATGATTTCAGACGTTGACCCTGTCTGACCTTAGGCAGTCTGTTAGAGGCTTCCAAGAATCTACTGTCTGTGGCTGTCTCCTTCGACTGTTAATCTAGTCACTCTGCCTTCAGCAGGCTGGCTTAGACCACACAGGGCAAGGCAGAGTCCCTCCTGGGGGCAGGTTTATTGGGTCCTCTCATGCTTCTGCTGCTCAGGAGAGTGGACTGCCTGATCCAGATGGCTGCTGCTGTATGGGGGAGGAGTCAGCACTGGGATCCCGCTGGCCACTCTCTCTGTTCTCTCCCCAATGCCTCAGTCTCCAGCTTCTCCTCAAGTGTCTCAAGACCACTCTGCGCCCCCTTTAGCCAGGGATCTACTATCTGTGGCTGCCACTCTGTACTCAGCAGTCAGGTTTTAGCACTACCAGGCCAGGGGCAAGTGCCTCCTGGGGCAGGGCTATAGTGTCCTCTCACAATGTTGCTGCTCAGGGGAGTGGTCTACCTGAGCAAGATGGCTGCTGTTTGGGGGATGAGTCAGCACTGGGATCCCCTGCTACTCTCTTAGTTCTCTCCCCAAAGCCTCCTTCCCCAATCTCTCCTCAGGTGTCTCTAGCTCACTCTGCCCCCACCTTTGCCAGAGGCCAGGGTAAGTGGCAGTTAGGTTGTGCTAAAGCTGATTCTTCTGTCTGTCCGAGATTATAAGGCTCCTCTCTCACTATTGTTCAGTTGTTTGTTCCAGGTGGTTTCTGCACAATTTAGTTGTAATTCCAGGTTGATCCTACGAGGAGGTCAGAGTGACTTCCACTCACTCCTCTGTCATCTTGATTCCCTATTTTTAACTTTTGGAGAACCTCCATATTGTTTGCCACAGTGGCTGCATCAAATTACAATCTGGGTCTCTTTCTATTAGTTTATTTTCCCCTCATTCTTGATTGTATTTTCCTTCTTCTTGCATACCCATTAATTTATTAAAAATTAGATACTACGTCCTGTGAATTTTACCTCATTGAGTGCTGGTATTTTTTAAATTCCTATGAATAGTCTTAGCTTTGTTCTGGGATGCAGAAGTTCAGTAAGGCAAACACTATATATAAAATATAAAATGACTGAAGAGAAATACTGCCATTCACAGATAGAATAAGGCAAATTTTTAAAAACTAATAATACATTAGTAAAATCAATCACTTAATTTCTCAAGAAGTATGGATAAAGTAAATTTAAATAAAGGTTTGGTAAAGCAAATCTTTAATAAAGACTATAATATTTATTTATATCAATAACAGCTAAATACTGCAAATATTTCAAAGGTACCATTTAAAATCAAAGTAAAAATATCAGATTCCTAGAATAAATCTAATAAAGAGTTGTGAGGCTTCTACACAAAAATTATAAAGCTGCATTTAAAGAAGACCTAAATCTACTCTCAGAGAATAATGGAGCAATATTAAAATGAAGATAATCATTTAAAAAAATACATATCAAATACTCAAACAGAAAAAGAATAAGATCTGTTTTTTTTAAGTTATAAACATAGGTGTGAACCAAATTTTAATTCTTATGCCATAATTTACCATATAAATAATTTCTATAATAATTGTATGCTTATAATAATGAGGCATTTATATAGCACATGTAAAATTTTTAAATCTTGTTATTGGTATTAGGTATAGGAAATATGATTTTGGTATTCACATGTTACCTGATAGTCAGCAGGCCTAGGAGTACTAAAAGTTTCTTTCCGATCCAAGAAGGACATCCGAGGAACAGAAGACCCAAATGTACTTTGCCTTTGTTTCTTTAAGCACATTCTGCTGAGGTTGTCAATGATAGTATTGTTGAGGATATTATAAAACCCAGAACCTAAAATTATGAAGAATAAAATATATAAGAATAAATATGCTTTTAAATTTTTAAATGGAGTAACTATTTTTTAGAAAGAACTCTCATATATTGCTATCAGAATACAAAATGACATACCACTTGAAAAACAATTTGTCAGCTTTTTGTGAAGGTAAATGTATACTTACTATATAACCCAGAAATTCTACTCCTGGGTACTTTCCCAAGAGAAATAAAAACTATCCAAATGTCCATCAACTGGTGAACAGATAAACAAAATGTGCTCTACTCAAACAATGGAAAACTACTCAGCAATGAAAAGAAAAAAATAAATACATTAAAATAAATAAACCTCAAAAACATCATACTAAGTGAAAAGAAGACAGATATAAAATCCTGAATAATAAATGGTTCCATTCATATGAAATTTCAGACTGCTACAGCCACTTTGGAAAACAGTATGGAATTTCCTTTAAAAAACAAAAAATGGAACTGCCTTTTGATCCAGCAATTCCACTGTTGGGATTATATCCTAAGAATCCTGAAACACCAATCCAAAACAAACTCTGTACCCTATGTTCATAGCAGCATCATTTACAATAGCCAAGTGCCAAAAATAGCCTAAGTGCTCACTAGTAAGTGAGTGGATTAAAAAAACTGTGGTGCAATTACACAATGGAACTTTATAGAGCAGAAAGAAAAAAGAAACTCCTATCCTTCACAACAGTGTGGGTAGAACTGGAGAGAATTATGCTAAGTGAAAAAAGCCAGGTGGCAAAAGACAAATACCATATGATCTCACCTATATGGGGAACCCAATGAACAAAACAAACAAATGAACAAAATAGAATCAGAGGCATGGAAACAAAAAAACAGATTGACAGGGACCTGAGGGGAGAGGGAAGGGGGAAAAGGGAGGAAAGAAGGGGAGATGCCTAGTCTAGGAACAGGTATAAATAACCCACTGATATAGACAATAGGGTGGGGATTGACTACAGGAGCGGGGCCAGGGGCAGTGGGGCAGGGGAGAGCAACAGAGAAACATGGAGACAACTGTAATAGAATAACGATTAAAAAATGCAAAATTGTAATGACAAAAGCAGTTTCCTGGGGCCTGGAGTGTAAATAGAGATTAATTGCAAAAGGTCATGAGAGAACTTTTTAAAAATGATGGAAATGTTTCAAAACTTGGTTGCAGTGGTGGTTATACATTTACCAAAATGCATCAAACTGTACTTAAATTGAATTATTTTTATTGGGTAAATTATACTTCAAACAAAGAAAAAAATGAAGGAAATTCTTGATGCCAAAAAGTATTAAAAAGCTGATGTAGGAACATCAAAAATCAATTTGGAAAAAAGTTACCTATCACCTAATCTTCCTATCACAGAAGTTATTTTAATTTTTTTGCCTATTAGCTTTTAGTGCATGTTTATAACAAGGAATACTTTCTACAGTGGCAAACTAAGAGAATAACATTTCCCTTTTTTTAATTCAAATAATGCAAACATCTTTTCATGCCACTGAAAAAATTTTTAATTTGAAACAAATACAGTTGACCTAATGCAGAGGTTAAGGGCACTGACCCCCACACAGTCAAAACTCTGTGTAGAACTTAAGCCAGCCTTTCACATACATGGATTCTCAACCACAGGTTAAAAATGCTTATCTGTATATGTTTTATAGTTCAGTTTGTTTTTTAAAACCAGTTTCAGTGAGCAGAAATATGCATAAAATGCAGTATGATATACTTGAAAGAACACTTCACTTGGTTATACTCCTGTTATCTGGATTCTACAAAATGAGCTCTGCAACTGAATAGATTGTGAAACATCACTTAATCTCTTGTTTTTCTGGGCTTTAAGTCCTTGTTTGAAGATAATAGGAATTGACTAGATCATTGTTGTTCAAAGTGTGGTTTGTGGACTGCTGCCTGTCCAAGAACAATCTACCAAAAAAAAAAAAAAGAAGAAGAAGAAGAAAAGCTTACAACTAAATATAAATTGAATATTTTACTAAGCATTTTTGTAACCAGTATTTCTCCATGGAAGATAGCTGACTTACATTCTGGTACATCTCCTTTTTCACTGTGGGCAGAAAACAGTTGGCAAATGGACACTTTGGGTAGCACAAGATTAGATAATACTTTAGTTTCATTCTGTATTAAATGTAATCAAATCATTCTTATAGTCAAGTCCTCTATACTCCTGATATATATAAGGTTTTTTCTCAAGGAAGTTGCCCATAAACTCTTCTCAGTTTTTCAAATATTCCAGTTCTAAAGTCTGTTCCCCAAAAGTCTCTACCCAAATTTCTCTTGTGCCAACTCTCAGAAAACCTAAATACTAACATGTATTCCTGCCATCTTCCAAAATTCCTCCACTAGTAATGCTTAGGAAAAAGGTAAGTGGAAAATGTAACAAAAACTATTTAGGCCACCATTTAAGATATTTAAAAGACAAGTACTTCATGGGTGGAGGGGGGTAAAGGGGTAAAAATTGAGACAGAACTGTAATAGAATAAACATGATTTAAAAATTATTTTAAGAAAGAAAAAAAAGGATCAACAAATAGAAGAACTACTTCCTACATTTGGTCCTGTGCCCTCTCCGGTGACCCAGCTGATCCAGAGATGGGCACATAACCTATGCGAGTAAATTGTCACAAATGGAGAAGGACTTAAAATGAGAGATGCTTTTGAAAGCCACCAATAATGAACCCACCAAGAGAATTTACCCTTATGACCTGAGGAGGTTTGTGTTCAGGAGACAGGAAGTTTCATTTGACCCTATTTCCCCTACAAAGTGATCAGGGTATGAACTAGAATACAGTGTGACCCTAGAGCACATGGACCCAGAGTCGGAGGGGGTGGAACGTCTGTGTAGATCATTAGGAGACAGACGTGTGAACTCCACAGAGAAGCAGACGGAACTCCAGCATCACATTCCTTCAGTGGAATTTGGTACCGAATGTGCAGGAGCCTCACAGCCTCATTTTTGTTTACATTCTCTAGACTCTGTTCAAACATTTGGGACACAGAAGGAACACACTGTAACTAGATCTGCTTAGGGGCAGATGTAGGTAGATGTCGAATATGTGAGTTAAAAGTATAGAAATATCACTACATAAAACCTTTATGCCAATCAGGAATATGAAATAACAGAAAATAAATAAAATGATAATTGATTAAAAAAAATGAGTACTTCAGATCTCTCTCTCTCCTGGCATAACATAACATATTACAAGTAAGCTAAAGTACTTAAATATAGACACCTCAAGGAATGTATGTCTCAGGTACTACTTTATTAAGCATCTGATTCAAAAAGCCATCTTGATCATATATTTTGCTCATAATAGAGGTTTTTCTTATTAATTTTCTAGTTCCTAAATGTAGAAATACCCAGAAACCCAGAGTTAGACAGTTTAGAGGTGCTTTTAACTTGCTCTCATTGATGGATCCAATTCGTTACTGCATTCTAGTATCTACATAAAAAAAGAAGCACGAAATTCCATGAATGCCATTCTCATTGATTCTTAAAATAAGGTTCAGAATTAGATTTCAGAGGTAATCATAATTCAGCTTTATCCTTTACAAATAAATTAACCCTTGGGGAATTTGTAATACTTTATTTGTCATACACTGGACCATCAAATTGAAGACAAGACCCAATCTGAAGGCAGCTGGGTCACTCAATAAATTCATATTTAGAAAAAATTTGGATTTCAGATTCGTGATAAAGCCAAGCACTTATGCACAACCTCTTCAAAATGACACTGTTAGACTCCTACATAGAGACTCAGGCCTCCAATACCAAGTACTTCAAGAGGCCCAGGTTTATGATGTAAAGCATATAATTTCACCTGAGAAGTGCTGGACTAACACTTTCACTGCATGCTGGTGGTTAAGAAAGTCACCAGGCTCGCCAAGACTGACAGGAGAAGAATGAGACTCAACCTCGTTATGGCATGAGCAGTAAGTATTTTGTATGGGAAGCACAGTATTACCACAACAAATTACCACAGCAAAACTGGTTGAAGTGGTGTGGGATCAGGCAATGGGGTCAGAGGCTGAAAAACCTTCAAGACTTAGAGAAGAGCCTTGAGGAATCTCTTCAGTGGGTGATGGCTAAAAAGACAGTAATGAAAATGTTATTGAAGGCTAGATAAAAGATAATTTTGTATTATATAATGGCAGAAATTTTAACAAAATCAATGCTTGGGATAATGAAGAAAATACTTAATAAATTAATCAGTTCCAGAAATTTCTAGACTAAATATCAAAAGTGCCAAATAGCTGCTTTCAACTGTATGTGCAAAGGTATAGATAGAAAAACATGAGCTAAAATTTTTCTTATTTAAGTAGAATTTATAGGAAATAAAAAGGAATCAAGGTTTTCTGGGTTTGAAAGTAAAATTGCTTTTCATTCTCAATCTTTCCATACAACAAAAAAAGTTCTCAGAGCAAAAAATGGCTTGAGGGCAAAGTTCATAATCAGGGTTTGGCTAGAAGACCCTAAAACCTCAGAAAGATGGAATTCCATAGAATCACTATCAGAATTTTTTTTACTTCTTTTACTTCCTGATAATATCACCCAGTAAGTGTCAGGTTCAGAGTAGGCATGCAATTAATATTCGTTGAATAAATGAAATTATAAAAGGTGTTGGCTATTTTATAAGAAAGTGCATGTGTTTATATTACCAAATAAATGAAATTGTGTGGTCATCAAAACATATGGTCTGTGGTGTAGCCTTTTAAAATATAAAGACATTCAGCTCTGCTAAAAATGATTATCATTTTTTTCATCTTAGCAGCAGCATTAAGTAGACTTCCCATTTACAACATGGACCAGCAGCGTTTTTCTTCCTCGTCTGGACCAAGACAGTGACTGTCAATGGACACACTGAGATTTGTCGCCCCTCCACATGCACGCCCAAGGATAGCCTAGATTATGCTGCTGTGACAAAGAAGTCATGTGACTGTCCAGCAGCTGCCCTCCATGTACCAGCATGTTTTGGCACGTC